CCCCCACCCCCGGCTCTGCCAGAGCCTGGGACCCGGGGGGATTCCCCATCCTTCCCGCCCCGCCGGCATCCTTTCCTGCAGATCCTTCCGGCTTCCTCTCTCTCCAAGCTGACCCCACCGACTCCTCTCCAGGCCGCCCGTGGCACCCTGAAAGCACAAAATCAGCACCTTCCACTGCAGGGCTGCACCTTAGGGGGGTTACTCGACCTTGGCCTCGCGGGCCTTGGTTTTCCCACGTGTATAATAGTCTGGACCCGATAGTCAGTTGTGAGGATTTTAAACGAGTTGGTGTCTGAAAAGGGCTGAGAACACAGCCTGGCCCAGAGTGAGGGCTGGGTAAGAATCAGCGGTTGTATTACCATCCATGCAGGAATCCCAGAAACTGCCCTGGGAACGGGGGCCAGGTGAGAGCAAGGATGAATTTTCTGTAAACCTTTGTGAGCAGGGTGAATGACTTGCCCCAAAATATGCTTGGGGGTTCCCAGCGCAGCTAGGGTCAGCTTTTCAGCTACCCACCACCCTTCATGTCTGCAGACACCGTGACCCAACTCTTGGACTCTGTAAATTCAGAGTCTGGTGGTGTCTGCAGGTTGAGGACACCGATTTCAGGGGCTGGCACGGGAGAGGGGATTTTCAAGATGAATACTTTGTGCTGTTTGGATTTTTTTCCCCACCTTCTGGAGTCTCCATTACAGCTTAAAATACAATAAAAAGCAACTCTCTTAGCTGCAGTCAACTACCCCAATGCCTCCCCCCAGACCAAAACAAACCCATTGCCATGGAGTTGATTTCAACGCTTAGCCTGGGTTTCCAAGGAGCAGCTGGTGGACTCGAACTGCTGACCTTTTGGTTAACAGCCATACCTCTTAACCACTGTGCCACCTCACCCCAGGGGCCACCAATTGTAACCTCCCCTTATTTTTAGTTTTTCTGACAATGTTCCAGAATCAAGGCTACTTAACGTGTTTTGTGCTAAAGATGCCTCTGACAGGTTGGTGAAGCTCTTCTGAGAATCATGTTTTCCCATGCCTAAAATAAATGAAGTGGGTTATTAAAAAAACCAAACCCGCTGCTGTGAGTAGATTCCGACTCATAGTGACCCTATAGTGTTTCCAAGGCTGCAAATCTTTCCAGAAGCAGACTGCCACATCTTTCTCCCAATTAGCAGCTGGTGGGTTCCAACCACTGACCTTTCGGTTAACAGCTGAGCACTTGACCACTATGCCACCAGGGCCCCTTAGGGGATTAGAAAGAACACCAATTATATTGAAATACAGATATAAAAATATTTTTAAACAAATATATGATACAGCAGTAACGTGTACTTGGTAAAGACATAAAATTTCAAGATCTAGTGGCAGATACAAAAAATATGGTCATCTGGAAGTTTCGATGAGTGTCTAAACATGTTGAGATTCCTACAGTGGCTGTAATGAGATTTGAAAACATCTGTGGTTTCTTCTGGCGACCAAGCCACAGGTTTCGCTAATAGTATTGGGCTTTATTGCCCTTCTTCATAACCAAAGGGAATGTTAAATTTCACTCACAGCAGTGGTTTTCAAACTTTTTACACTCTTAAAAATTCTCAAGGACCTCAAAGAGCTTTTTGAAAAATATATTTTTTATTATGGTAAAATATGCATAAAATTTACCATTTTAATCTTTTCTGAGTCTACAAGTCAGTAACATGACATTCACCATGTTGTACAATCCTCACTACTATTTCCAAAACTGTTTCATCACCCCAAACAGAAACTCTGTACCTATTAAACAATAACTCCTCATCTTCCCCTTCTCCAGCCCCCGGGGAACCTCTATTCTAGTTTCTGTCCCCATCTGTTTACCTGTTCTAGATATTTCGTAGAAGTGGGTTCATACAATATTTGTCCTTTTGGGTCTGACTTATCTTACTTAGTGTAATGTCTTCAAAGTTCATCCACGCTGTCGCATGCATCAGAATGTCGTTCCTTTTTAGGGCTGCATAATATTCCGTCGTGTGTATATACCACATTTTGTTTATCCATTCATCAAAGAGAATTTGTATGTGGATAAATAGTAATATCTATTAATATTTGCCATGTCAGAAAATAAAACTGAGACTTTTTAAAACACAAGAATACAATGTGTCAGAATTGACTGGACAGCAATTGT